TACTGAAACAAAAAATGCAGTAAAATAAATTTATCCAAGTTTGAAATATATTATCAGAAATATTTAAATCCAGTATAATTACATCCAATCAAGTAAAATTAAAAAGATGTGTCAGCAATAATTTTTTGTGAGCTATAGAAATTTAACATATTAGTATTAAAACAATTCTAGAAATAGACCAACTTGGAGAAGCGCAATAATGAGGAAGAATACATTGCTGTACCGTCTGAATTGTTCTTTCAGAAAGCGTGGGAAAAAAGAAAATGCATTATATTTAGCAGTGCTGAAAATGACAGCAAAAAATACCTAGAATTTATTTTTAATAATCTGTTATTATGGATTCGAATTATGTCCTTAAAAAATATCCACCACACCGCCATTATATAATAGCATGGTGCATCCTTTTGTGCTGTCTATAGTTTTCTGGCTTTGAAAGCTTAAAAAAGACATAAAATAGGCATTTCACAGATAGTTGTTGAGTAATACATCTGTTGTGTCATACCTGATAGCATTAGACCGATATTTCTCAGGCTGTGAAGTTTGATTGACATAAATAATTCGAGAAGTCGAAATACGTGAGGGACGTTGTTTAATTCTGCAGTCAAAAAAAGGCATTATAAAAAATGAAGTGGAATTGACCTTAATCCATTACCGAGAAATCATTCATAGCAATTCATCACAAGGCCAGATCTAAAAATTAAAAAAAAGTTAATATTGATCATAAGTTGTAATACTGTGACTTGCATTAGAAAAAAAAATTTTGCGAGGATTTGGAAGAACCTGAAGAATCCGAAACTAAAGCATGTCACTCCAAAATTAGAAAATTACACTTAAAACATGGTAAGTTATTCGATATCACATCCTATACCAGGCATGTAGAATATATCATGTCACTTATCATTATATGTCCATCCCAAAAAATATCCCAAATATTAAGTAATGCATTGATTACTTCTGTAATTCTTATACTGATAATAACACAAGACTACTCACATAATTCTTTCCTCTTCTTTCATGTCCATGATCAAATAGAATGATTTCACAAAACGACAAATTCAATTACAAATCTGTTTCATGATAATCGATACAACTAACTAATTAATGGCGTGGATTACTAATAAGCAAATGTCGAAACTTAAGACACTGAATTCTACCATTCAAGTTTCCAAAACTTTTCTTTTTCTTCTTCCATTATAAACAACATGGACATCAATTCTTAAGCATTTTAATGATAATTTTTAGATGTTGTCGTTGTATTTTACACTTTTCCAGAATAGAAATTCGGAGTAAACCAACTCGTGATATTGCCAATAGAAAAAAGGTCAGGTCACCGTAACGAAACGCACTGTTCACTTTTGCAATCACTAAGAACTGATTTCAATTTTCTTTCTGGATTTTGAATTTCGAGAAATTTGGGAGTCAAAAATAAAGGAGACATTGTGCAAATGTTAGATGGAGATGGCATACTCACGAACTTAATAACAACCATCATCATCTCATTCTAAAATAGCTATATTCTAAAGGATTTCTTTCCAGTTTAGGTTACATTTTCAAACTTTTCTTTAATTATATGAATAATACATCATCAATGTATGTGACGGATGTAACTGAAAATAGTGGCTGTGACAAAAGTCACTTTTAACTTTCCCAACTATGCCATTTCTTCTTTTCACGGAATAAACAAAACAAACATCAAGCATCAAAGTATGAGAAGTTGACAGATGACAAAGAATTCTCATCACCAACTAACCCAAGCAATCACCCAACCACCAGTACTTGTGTCCTCCAGCACCTCACACAACACAACCCTCCCCTCATCTTCCTCATTGACATATACTGCACTTTCATCCCTTCCTTTTGCATTCTGTCCCCTAACTTTTCAGCTGTCGTGGATTGCTCTCTCTCTATACTCAAAAGTCTATCCTACTACCCTTCAAATTTCGACCTACATGTATTCAATTCCTCAGTCGTTGTTTCATGAAGTCATGTCGGAATTATCCAGTAGAGATATGATTAATCGGAATACTTTTCCATTTAGAATACAAAAAAAGATAGTACGGGTTTGGCTGAAATCATAGCTAACAATGCTAAGTTGAAGTTCGTTGAAATTTGATGGAGAAGGTCAGTGTTGTTGCGACCATATTTATTTCCAGAAGCATGGATTGCATAATTGGAATGAGTTTGTATGGATAGTGGATCGGCAAGAGTGGACAACGTGCGGTTGGAATGCACAAGAAGGGTGTAAGGTGTACATGCGGATGGCACACGACGGGAGTAGACTTATTATCCGGTCATTCCGAGCCACCCACGTTCTTGCTTTTCTTTTTGTCTTTAGCCTTCTTTACTTTGTTGTCGAGAGTGGGCTTCTAGCTTGGATTGTACAAAATGCGTTAAGTATTTCAGGGGTAAGTCCAGATTTACATTTCTCTCCTCCATGTAAATACAACTTTCTCAACGTAGATTTTCGGAAAGCTGCAACCCTTGCTTTAGTTAGTTCTCTTGGTCACGTTACGTCAGGTCAGCTTATTTGTAGCTATAATTCTGGATGTAATATGCAGCTTCTGGAATAAACTCAGCATGTTTTGAATGAGTTTGGATTGTTTGGTGATGCATCAAAAATTTTTTGGACCTATTGTTGATTCCATTTCTCAGCGTATTGATAAACATTTGATTTCCCGATAATAACCGATCCTTATAGAGTATAATCTTTTGCTCGTTTTTTGCCTTTTAATTCAAACATTACTTAATATGCATGTAATTTGCTGTTTGCAGCAAGACATCGAGGAACAGATGTTAGACAAGTACAAACTAACAGCACATAGACATATCCAGTGGTTAGCAGACAGTACTGGACGAAATACAAATGCGGTAAATGATAGCTTTGTCAACAGTGAAGGAAGGGCTTGCCGTAATACAATACAAGGAAGGACTTCTGTTACTGATGACAGAGGTAATTTGAATTCACGTAAGGTAGGGCCAAGTTTATTTAGTTTATTTTGTACACTTCATAAATTTTAGTGCTTAGGCTTCCAGTTGTTTTCAGCAGCTAAACAAGATATACAGAGGTTGAGGTATTTACGTCTTTTTTTGAATGGAAAATTCACTTCCAGTTTCTGTATACTATAGTTATATGTTTTAATATTATATGTTTTCTGTCATCTTTCACATCTCATCATGGCTTGATTTGATATTTATTACTCCACAGAGTAGTAGAAACGGATTTGATTGTTAACAAAGTTGTTAGTCTTTTATTGATGTCAGACTCCTCATGATTATCATTTGGGAGAATTTTTTTTTCTTACATTTCAGGTTATACATGTGAAAGAGCTTTCCTGATGTCGAATGGTTGCTGTGAAGTAGGTACTCAATCGCTACGTTTTAGCTGTGTTTGGTGTGATCTTTATACTGGTTGTTGCTCTCACTACGAACAGTGCGTTTCTTGTTGTTTGAAACCGGAGCAGGTACATTTTTGATGCAGTTAAAATTAAAATTAAAGATACAATGTTTGTTTGGTGCTGAACGTATTATTTTCATCATAAACATATATAACTTGCTACCCAAACATCTAAAAATCTGGCAAAGCCAATATTTGTAGAAAAATATACTGCTAAAAATGATAGAGTCAACATCTGGGCATCGATTACGTCAAATACTTTCGGCGACGGACCAGTTCGAGCTTTGCATGTTGAAATGTCGCACTTCTTCAAATGTAAGGGCACACGAAGTTTGAGGTTTTGAATTCCGCTATCAGATTTGTCCAGATACTTCATTTTCCTTTTCTGGAGTTTCATGGAGGCATATCACTTAAGTAGGAATGGATATCATTGTATGGTACTAACTACTTTTTTACGGAATTTTCTCTCATAAAATATCGAATATTGCATAGGAAGTGAGTGGGAATGATAAAACGGTTTTTTATGATAAAGTAAATATATTTCTTTGTAGAGTGTACATTCGGAAAACAAATACAAAAGCGAGAAGATGAAATACTGTTACAAGCAGGAACCGAATCGTCCTTTTTCACGTTAAGAAGGCATAGTCAAGATTACTCTACGGGAAGAAGATTTAGGTAACTTTGCAGTATCGGGTTAATACTGAAATTGGTTTTACGTCTTTCTTTTTGTGTATGATTTCAAATTGGTTGTATTCTTCAATTATGAGCTTTGTGATGAAATTGTTGTAATCGGCAGTGGTACTACTACTTCATTCTGAGTGTAATATATGCTTTATTAAAGCAGTTTGTTTCTCTATATGAAGCATAGTATTAAGGAACTTTAAATTATGCAAGGAATTTTATTTTTAATATGTTGGATACAAGCAACGTTTGTAAAATGCATGTTTCCAAGATTTAGCACACGAGTCTTATTTATTTAAATAAGCATTATTTAAGAAGAATATAAATTCATACATATCTTTCAATACTCTAGTTGTAGGCCTTTATTTTCGTCGTTGCTTTGTGTCATGTGAATTTTGTCAGCTTCAGTTGCTAATTTTCTCATATTCTTGTTTATCTGTGTAAAAAGAAAAAAAAAACCGGAATTTAGAATTTAAATCCTTTGAAGAACTGAAATAAACGTCTTCGGGTTTAGCGAATTGTTAGCATTAATCTCGGTATATATTTATAAACAGCATTATCTTTGTTAAGTGTTCTTCATGGTATGGTTATTTTGGATGAAAAGAAAAAAATTATTGCTTATGTTTTGCATTTATTCCGCTCTGTTAAGGCAGTTTGTTTCTCAAATACAAGCGCACGTGCGTCATATCATTCTTTTCAATAATGAATTTATTTTTATAAGCACATATTTTGTGCAGCAAATTTTTTCTCAGAACATTCGGTTTGTTCCTAAGCATTCTTTTGAAACATCATCTTTTCGTAATATGGGAATGCAGAGAAAAGTATGTATTGTTTTTTGAAATAATGAAAGGTTTTGTTTTTTTTGTGAACTTCTGATGGAAGCGTATGTAGCTGATACATAATCAGTTATAATTGCAGTGTCATAATGAATTCATCTTGTCGCCATGGGACGGTCTTATCAACAAAGAATAAACTGCATTTACTACTTGCATTAGAACGCGAAGCTGAAAGAACAAGGTATATAATTTAGCTGTTTAAGAGTGACTCTTTCTATGGTTGCCTTGGTCAATGTAGACTTCTCCAACATATTTGAGATTATGTCAAACTGCAGTGATTGTCTGTATTAAATTAATGGTTAAATTAACAAATTGAAGATTAAATTGTGAGTCCAGAATTGAGGCAGTAATTGTTTTATTATGTAGGTAGGGTATTTATTACATAAGAAGAGGTTTTCACTTCTGCGACCTGTATTGGTCGTTAGACATAATGTTGTTTACTTTGCATAAAACTATTTTGATTTTTTTAGTCTTAATTATTGAAAAATAAAATTAGTTAATCTTAAAGAGGCATAGAAGCTGAAGCAATGCAGTAATCATTTATAGGCTTTCTCAGTCATGGCGGCAAGTTATAATTTGGGTCTTGCCAACGATCTGTTTCCTTTTTGATGTGAGTTGTTTTGAATGTAACTGATTACGAGTCACATACATACATGCAAACGGATTTTTCTATCAAATTCCGTTTCTATAAAAATCGGGATTTTTCTATCAAATTCCGTTTCTATCAAAATCCATTCCGATTTCATTCTAGATTTAGTTTTTCAAACTCTCTGGTTTTGCTTTTGGTTTTAACTACATTCCTTTACTTTTAAATAAAGTAAGCGTATGCATATATATTTTTTTTAGATTTTCGCTTTAAATTGTGCTACTTGCACCAGTTTGATTTCTTTCTTACTGCGATATGATAAAGCTTATTCAACGACATATGTGGTCGAGATCACAGCGCTCTTCATTTGCTTGTTGAATTTATCGGTATGTTTTTTCGAAGCAACAAAATATTCGTACCGTGTCACAAGGGGATTGCCATCGGAATTTACACCGCAGCAAGTTTCTGCACGAAAAATCACTGATCAAAGTGAGGCTTTAATATTTCTAGAAGCAAATTTCTTGGCCTTAAGAATCTTTGCAGAAATATTTGTGTAATACTGAGAAAAAACTTGATGAGAAAATATTCATAGGGAAAGACTTGATTTCGCGGTTGTAATTTTTCCATGAGTGTACTGTCAGTCTAATATTTTGAATATTGGGAGTAATAATCTTCGTTGAATAAGTATTTTAACTTCATTTTCCAGATGGTTGCAACATTTCTTTATCTCAACCAAATAGAAATTTTATTGCACAGTGGCTTTCGGCTTTACATTTTGGCAACTGGTCAGCACAAGTTCCGAAAAATCCATTTTCATCAAATTACATAAGGCATAATTTGACTAGCTCTCCAGTTGGATCATCGTTTAATAGGTTAGTTAATTTGAGAAAATTTTCATCAATTCTAAAAATGATTTAATTGAATTAAATCCGTAATCTCTGCTTTCTCTTGGCAGTGAGATCTGATAATCCAAATGCCCATTTGAAGCAAATTCTGTACCGTTTTGTATTTCCTCAAAAAAATCCCAAATATGCTAGAATTTACACTATATCCTGCTGTCAGAAATTTTTTTGGTTAATATCATATTGGTTATTATAATTTTCTTCAATAACTTCCGAAGAAGTTTTTAGTCGCAAGTCAGGAAGTGCATTTGGCGACAGCGCCTTGTTCATGCATTCAACACCATTGATTGATCACCATTCTTCATATGTAGAGAGACATCCAGGCCATTCTGTACCACTGTCTGCGAAAATTGGTTCAAGAACATCCCTTCGTAGTCGTCCGACATCTTCAATTCAAACAAATAAACAGTTGGAAGAATATCTTCGAAAAAGGTTAAAAACATCGAGTCTCCAAATAAAATCATCACTTCTGAAATGTGGTTTCTACTTAGAGTGATTATTACCCAGCATGTTAATAATATACCTTGTCTTTAACGCTGTGGATATTTTGTAGAGAAAAATATACGAAGATTTTAAAGTCGTTCTGACAATAATACATTTTGTCGAGAGTTTCTTTATTACTCTCCTGAGCACGAAAATGTGAGATAGATCCACTTTCATGCTTTCATAATGAGGAAATTTAAAAATTAAGTATTTGGATTTGTTAAACTTTGAAGGACAGAAATTTAACGCAGCTATGAACGTGCAAGGTAAAGCAACCTTGCTTTTCTTTATTTGGGAATGTAAAGCTTATGATGAAAGTCGAGTGAATAGCAAATTTCATATAAACCAAGAAAAAATAAATAAACTTCAAAGTTTTTCAGTCCTGGAAACAATGAATTACTCAAAAATGTCACAACATCTTTTTCAACATCGTTTGGTTCATTCTCATCTTCCAAATCCGAGCGTATCATTGGTATTTCTAAGCCATTTCGTTTGTCATCTTCCAAAAATAACAGTTATGAAGTTGGAACTGCTATGTATGATGATGAACAAGGGAGAGTGACGGGCGATGAAAATAGTGTTGTTTCTTTAGTGACAGGTGTTATTTGATTATGCAGTATGTAATGTAATATCAGTTTTAATCTTGAAGACTGATACATTCGCTTAGAATGGAAAGTCCAAATTTTTGGAAACTTTAAATTTTGATAATTGAAGTGTTCGTCAAATTATGTCAAACGTGTAAATTTGTCTTAATATGCTTTTATTATTAGTGTACTTTTGATGTACTCAAAGAAATGAAAAATGTCATGATATTCTTGTGGCATCCATACTGTTGATGGCGATGGGGAAGAATCAATATTTGTGAAGCATAATAATCATATATGAATACATATATGTATGCAGGCAGTCGTATAATGGTGACTGATAAACGCATATCATTATCGCCAATTCCACTGAATTTGATTGAAGTCGACAATGAATTAGCCGCTGGAGATGGCAAAGGTATAGCGAGTGATGGAACAGATGTTGCGCGTAATGTTAACAACGATAGCATTACATTTCGTGTGAATCATAACGCTGCAAAGCGATCGTCAAAAGGAGGGCAAGGTTTTTATTTCTTTTATTTTTTGGTATTCAATTTGATTTTGGTATTTAAAAAAATACGAGTATATCATAAGAAATAAAATGAAGTATTAATCTGTTTCTTTTGGCAAATGAGTATAGATTGAAATGGAGTAATCATTTCAGGAGATAGAGTTTTTCAAAATTCAGTTTTTGTTTCAAAAATATAGCACTTTTATATATCGAAAACTTGCATTATATCTTTGTAAATGCACATACTTTGTTTGAATTCCTACCTGAAAAGTTTTTGATACCTAACTGAAGTTTGCAGGATTTACTCCGCCGTTGCTTCGTCGATCAGAAAATGAACGTCGTCGTCATTCTAGCTTGTCTCCACATTCACATTCTGGGAACCAATTTTCAAGTGTTGTGCAGTTAAACGGAATTGAAAGCAGTCCTATTGGCAAACAGATACCGATTACTTCTTCGGAAATATTGAATCAGTAAAAATTTTTGCTGCTCTACATTCTTTTGTTTTTTCTTATAGCTGGAAAAAGTTTTGGAAGATTAATAAAAGTCTTAAAACTGCTCAGGTTTTATATTGCAGATATAGAATGGACGCTGAAGGCTTCGCTGTCGCTGAACGTAATTTACGATCCTGGATTTGTCAAACAATTCTACGCCCACTCCTTGTGAAGATTGATGAAATTAATGCTGTCTTTACAAAGGCATGTTTTTCGAATATCAAAAATTTTTTTCAAATGATTAGTGGTATAAAATTAAGTAAATTAAGTGTAGAATAACCAGTAATTACCCATCAATGAATTACTTTTTTTGGAATTATATAAATAGTAACCAAATAAATAGGTGCAAACCTACTGTTGATCTCAAATTGAGTTTTATAATCTCAAAGATATCACCATCCAATAAAAACTAAGTCTACACTAAGTGTCAGTGGTATAAACCAAAAATTTCAGTCCCATGCACATTTGCACTTGAAAATCGGTCACTCATCTGTAGAGGCACTTCAAACTGCTGCTTCATCGAAGAGTGATTTACTGAAGTCAGCTCTTCCATATATTTTACCGTATCTCAAAATACACGAAAAACAATCTTATTTGATTAAAAGGTGTCGGGAATTGTGTGCTGATGTCTGTATGAAAAATTACAACTGGCAAGGTGGGGGATATGAACTTGTTGAAAGGAAAGAAGAAGGTTGTTATTTTAATTTTTCCGTTTGGATTACATTTCTTTTTTGTTTTGAGTCTAAAAATTTTATTGATATTTAAACTAATTTATTTATGGTATCTGAAAACTAATTATGATTTTGAGAAACTTCTTGATTAATTGAGGAATGTCATTTTTTTTGTTTCAGGTGAACAAGATTATTCACCAACAGAACGTGTATGGGGCCCTCATTTACCAACAGATGCTCAGCTTATTTGGTCGTGGTTCTCAATTTACATGGATGCACGGTAAATCAAGTCTTAATTCCTATCTGTGCATTTTATGATTACTACTAAAGTTAAGTGCTAAATCATGGTTTTATTTAAAAGCATAAATGAATGCTTTTCATGAAAAAGTAATATGATAAGTTCACTTGAAGTCAAAAAAGAATGGGAACAAATCTTTTTACAGAATGGGAACAAATCCTTTGATAAGTGATATTGAAATGCCATTTTCGTCAGTTTTCTATCTGAAGAAACCCGCAAAGCCATCACCACTGCAGTGTATGAAAAAATCTTTCTATATTTATCAGGTATTTTTTGTAAATTAAGTCCGTTGGTACAACAATTAGGCTTTGAAACATTCATTAGATTTACCAAAGTTTTCAGAGCAGCATTCATCCTCCACACTTTGCATTAGTATTGGATGGTGGCCGTGAACGTTTCGAAGTTGATCGCGGCACAAGAAATCTTTGGCGAACAATTTTACTTTTCATACAACATATTCGGTTGTTTAATGAAGGACAGCTTGGTAGTATAAAAATTGATGAAAATGGCATTAATCTTGCTTGCGTTCTGGAGTAGATGCTGTTAAAATTGATAATGACAGGAACCTTTTAAGTTTGAAATGGAAATCGTAGCGTCTTAATAATGCACAATATACACCATACCAATATGCCTTGTTAGTGATATAATAACAATGGTGTTATTGTTGACCTGTGGAAGCAAAATTATTAGCGTCGGTTATGCTTAGTTTATGAAATTGCAGTTGGATTATTGAATCTTTATTTAAATAATACGCTTTAAAATGAAAAATACCAGTAAACAAAGTAGCCAGGGAAAAAATATTTTTCCGGTATTATCTATTTTTGGAGGAAAAAGCGGTTACTCTCTCTTTTGTTAGTATATGATTTATATGTGTTAAGGATTGACATTACAACGGATCTTCATTTTGATATACAACAAATGCTTGTAGTATAAGGATTTTAACAAAATCATGTCAAAAAATCAGCTTGAGAATTTAGTGAAATGATTCATGGCGTTGATAAGATGTGCTTACAATTTGAATCATTTTTTTCCATAAATTTATTTAGAGTTTCGTAGTTTTGAAATTTGTGTCCCGCACTTGCTTGTCAAATTTGCTACAAATTTCCAAAAGTAGAAAATTAGATTTTCTTCCTTTTTCTCCTTACTTTCCAAAATTATCCTTCTTCTATGATATTTTTCGATTGATGATTTAAATTTCCAGTGGCTGGATAGTTTATTATACATATTTACACCATGTAGATTTCAGATTTCCTAAAAATTTAGTTGATTTGCTCAGTCGTTTTAAATTGCTTCGTCTGTTCTTTCTGAACAGATCAGAGCACAAGAACCATAACATTTTAACACACATTACTTAGTCCGTTTTTCTCATGAATGTTGCGATCTCTATTTATTCGTCAGTATATTTCGTTGCAATGTTGCCTCATCTGAATCAGCAGGTTATGGAGAATCAAGGGATTTCAGTCTTTTGGAAAAGCATTCAAATCCTTCTATACTATATTGTCACCGTTTTTCTGGAAAATATTCCCACAATAGAAGGATTGTTGTATTCCCAACTGTGATGTTTCCATAGATTTTTTGTTATGGACTTGTCAGATTTATTTTGATTTGTGTTTAAAATTAGATTTCACATTTCCACAAATGTTTCACTTTACATTTACATTGTCTTTTCGTTAATGGAGCGAAACTGTGTTGTATCTCGGACTGCAATGATGTTATATCTCAGTACTGCAATGATTTAAACAAGATGTATAGATGGGATGTTTGTAAAGAAAAGTAAATGGTAGCTGTAAGTAAATATATTGGAAGATGTTGGTAGAAATTATTTAATAAAAATAAGGAAAAAGCGGAAACTGAGATCACGGAGAAAGGAGGTACAAACAGGGAGAATTCATATCACGGACATGAATATACAGAAGTGTCACCATAATTACTTTTGGTACTACTAGAGAATGGTCTTTTGAGACCGAGTTTCTACGCTAGAACAACCATTACTACTAGAGTTTGTAATACGGCGAAGATCACTATGACTATCACTAATACCAATGGTTCCTTCGATGCCTGTTACTAGTTCTACAACTGTGCCATATGTAGTCCCATGCTAGCCCAGCACCGAATCAAATCATTATTTCTGTTAGTCTTATCATCATTAGTTTATCATTACATTATAGCTCATAAAATGATCATCATCACCACTACTTTTGCTTTAACTACAGATATCACTTCACTTAACAGTCGCTAGAGATGTTTTCTTTTCGATGGTTCAATTTGATAAGATAATTCCATCATACGCCGCTGATTGTCGATCACTTTGAAATTCCTACAAAAAGTATCGAAAAAGTGTCGCCGATGAACAAAGTGTAATCGATAAAAAATAGATTTTTGAAAAGATTGGAAAATCTCGAACAATTTGCAAGATCTTATACATTCTAAAAAATTCTAAGAGAATGTCAGTGAGTAATAATTCCGTAGCATACACAATAAGATGAACCACTATCTCAATAATGAAAAAAAAAAAAAAAAAAAAACCTACCTAACAAGGTTTTTTGACTTGAAAACCTTCCGTTCGTAAGCAATAACTAAAAAAAAGTGGTTCAAATTATTATGTTGTACTAGACATATTGAGAACAATGCCAAATATTAGCAGCACTGATAGATGTCCTAAGTACTAAAACACAGTGAGAATGATGCGACGAACACCATGCAAGTATTATTCGGCAACATGATTCATACTATCCCAAAATCTTTCCTGATAAATTAGAAACAATAGTTATAACAGTAGTTATATAAATACCTGGATATTTGCATTGTCTAAAGCCTCGCAAAATGTTAGCAATCATATGCTGCAATCACATCAAATATTTGAAATAATTCCTTCAGGATTAATCTCGAGATAAAGTTGAATCAAAGGAGGCATAAACAATGAAAAAATCACTTTTTAAAAAAAATTCTTCATGCTATTCTATTGATCCAATAATGAAATGAACGGCAAAGAAAATGATACTTTGACATTGGCTAGTATTAAATATAATTTGGAATGCAATTCGAAAAGTGTGAAAAATGAGATGAAAAGAGCTTGAAAGCTAGTTTAATGCCCGATTTCACAAGATTCATGGAAGCGGCTGCAAACAACCTCTTTATCAAAATGTTTAAATCCTGCATATGAAACACGCAGTGATTACTTCTGATAAAAAGAAGAGTCACAAATGTTGATAATAGAGAAGAATACATGCTGTGAATGTGGTACTTACCATTTTCTCGAAATTAATTAAACCAGCGAAATAGGTCTTATTGCCTTCGTGTGTAAATGTTAAATCTTTAAGGAGCAGTGGGATAAATGGCACCGTTGGTGCACTCATGTTGGCTGTAAGCATCCGATAAGCACGATGATTACGGCACGGATCAAGCAGTTCTTCGAATTCCGCGTACTGTTGTTTCAATTTAGATGGAAGTTTCTGAAATCAGTAAAGTATCACATCCAAAATTTGATGGAGCACTGCCGCTATCCAATGTGTCTTTTTCATCTCTTATTTAAGACTTGAATCTTAGATGTATTTAAGGTTAAAGCACTTTCAATATTTCGAACCTTTACGATAACCGTAAAAAAAACACGATAAAAGAAAAAGTTCTTTTGATAAACTCACATCCCAAAGATGACTGATTCGACTAACAGCGATATTACTGAGACCTAGGATAATCGCAAACAATGATAACAAGTCCTTGTTTTCTTTTGCGCTGCAGAATTCACATACTTTATTTTTTGCCGTTCAGTAAAATTAAGGTGTGAAGCAAGTCAAAGTCGAGTTTTAAAATAAACTTCAATTAGGTAATGAAATTAAAGTGTGCACTAAAACGAAAAAAAATGAAAAATTTATGTTTCCAAATCTATCAACCGAAACATTTATTATTTTGTTCAAAATTATACAAAACTCACTGCGCAGCAATTTTGATAAATTTTTTGAGAACGGAAAGACGTTTCGTATTGCTCTGAGCAAGCAACACTTCAGTTGTTGTCCAAAATTGTACCTCGTTAAAACGACGCATTAAAAGATCCAAATTTGATGTTATCCGATTGGGAAACTGCTCTCGTCCAAATACCTTAAATAATTCGAGAATTCCGGAAGTTTTTTAAGACTGAGTAAGCCTTTGAAAATTTCCTATTTCCTTCAAACAGTTTAATAGAAAAGTAATTCAGGATCAAAACCTGAGTGATAAGTTCGATATCATCAGTTGCTTCTAACAGCTGGGTATGAAATATGAGCAACTGTTGGGCAATATCAGTACTACTTAAATAGTCCAGTAATGAGGTATGGATGCCTTCCGATGGACTATATTGCTGCGGCAGCGGAGCCTGAAGTATCTTTTATGAATCCTTTATTGACACCGAAGAAAATCAACAGCTATTGTGTAATATTATGATTAGAATTTGAATGTTAATGAAGTAAAATTGATAATGAATTGCTAGTTTCAATTAAACTCAATTCAGATTTCTTGTAAAGTAGTCTACCCGAGCACTAGAAGTTACCAAAGTTTCGATTTCGTCGTTGTGAGCGACGTACAAAAGTCCATTCAGTGAAATCATTGTCGGAATACTGATATCATTCGGTGAAAAGACTATTCTTTCTGAAAACATCAAAGCGCCATTTGAGAAAGAAAATCTACTGAAATTTGTGATTATCGCAACTACGTATTTTCCTCAAAGTTTCCAGAAAATTGAACTGAGCTTTGAAATGAGTTTTAACCATCTATATGAAATGTGCGATCTATTCTATGGTATAAACGAGTGATTATTTCTGATTTACATTGTTATTTTCATTTTATGACAATGAATTTCTAAACTTGTGTTAAGTAGTGAGAAATAAGATTTCAAAGATTTCTACACCAAATGCTTTTTCTATCTTTAAAAAAATAATGAAATGTTTTGTATTTGTAATTACAATTGTTGAGAATCTGAATTACAGGTAGATTTGAATTTTAAAATTCTCAATAACTTGCAAAATCTCCATTACCTCCATTGCTTTTCACTTCAACTAAATGCAATTCTTCGCTAGAACCGCTGTATCGAATTTTTGTTTTTGCCATTTCACAGATATCAGCAGCAGTTTTATCAAGTCTTATGCTCATTACAAAAGAACTTGTGTCAGATAGGTAAATTACTTGGTTACCTGAAGAGAATAACCAATAAATATACCTTCACTGAACGAAGAATAACAATGTGAAAAATTGCGGAAATATTCAGTGATTGGAGGAACGAAACAAGAAGTGCGATGTAAGCTAGAGTGAATGTGAACAAAGAAACAAGAAAAGATGAATAAAAGTGGCAAAGGGAACCAACAGGTATCAAATGGTAGTACGGGGTTTGGTGCAGGAGCATGGCTGCAATAAATACCACAGTCAAGTACCACTGATGAGTGCCTGTTAATCGTTTGCATAGCATTTTCACGAAGTTGTCGAATTGTGCACATTGGTTCCAGATTTGACAACATCTCTGGGAATTGTCGACTGTCTTCCAAAACATAACAATACAATTCCTACAACTG